CTCTGACACTACAGAGCTGAGAAGAACACATTTCTGTAGTTTAAAGTCACTCAGTGCAGTAATTTGTGTAACAGGAAACGAATGTGGCTTTCCTCAGTGAGTGCTCACTTGGAAAAGTAGGATTATTCAGTTCAAATGCAGATAACCAAAGCTGTCCTCGTGGTGGTTGGCACAAAGGGCTCCAGGGACACACAGGTGGCCCCGGGCAGGGGCAGATGATTGCAAGGTCTGTGGCTGAAGCGAGTGATCATAATCTTTCCAGTACTATGGTCTGGTCAAGGTCTTCAGATCTTTGGGTATTCTGACCCTGTGGGATTCTGCAGACCCCATAGTAGGGCAGACCGGGGCTGTTGTGTTAGACACAACTTGTGACACTTGTGTCCAGCTTGAGGGCCTGTCTAGCTAACCTCCTAAAACCTCTGGAATATTGTTAATCTGTTTTTTTTTTTCCCCTTTGACTAATCCTTTTATATATATAGTAAATATCAGTTTGTTCTTTGTTTTCCTGCTGTGGTTTTCTCTTCCTTTCCCTCACATCTTGGTATAGATCTTGTGTACCTTTATGTTTGTTTGTTTGTTTGTTTGTTTTGGAGAGGTTTTTACTATAGGGTGCATGCACTCTCCAGAAAGGCACAGAGAGACAGAAAGCCAGAAAACACCCCCTCAGGAGGGATGGCCGCACCACAATCCCTTCTCCTCCATTCTCTTCTTGGGATCTTGGGCATGCACACACACGCACCTGGTATGAGTTTAAGCCACTGGGTCCAGGACTCTTACCGTGGTCAACTACATGAGAATCCAGCAACATAGCCATTACGCCAACTGCTGGTCCTCCTTTGTGGGTTTTCTTTTTTCTTTTTTCTTTTTTCCTGCCTCAGGAAAATCTCATGGCAGGGTAGAAAGCAGTTTTGCCAAAACTTTTTTTTTTCTTTTTCTCTTTTTAGTTTTTGCTATTGGGTGTGTACACTTACCAGAGAAAGGCAGAGGGAGAGAAAGGGAAAGTGAGAAACTACACTTACGGGACATGGACACACCATGAGCCCGTCCCCTCCATCCTTTTTCTTGGGATTTCTGGCACACACAGACACACATACATATGTGTGTACACATCAGGTGTGTTTTTCCAGTTGCTGGGTTTGGGGCTTAAACCAGGCAATTATCCATGTAGGATCTAGCTGCCTTAACCACCAGGCCATTGACTGCCCCCTGCTTTTTTTCCTTTTCTTTTTTTCTTTTTAAAAGCTGAACCCCCAGGGGAGGGTTTGGCTTGCAGAATGAAGCATAATGGCTTCATAAAAATGGCCCTAGAAGAATCTTCCCAGAGTATAAAAGATTCCCTGAAGCTGAGGATGAGCAGAGGGAACAGCAGAGGCTACTATGTCCCAAGTGACCTCCTAAGGACTTGACAAGTTTCCTAAAAGCAAAGCCTCACAGAGCTTCTTGGCAAGAAGACTCATGAATCACCCCAAACACATGCTTGCCCCATGTGGAACAGGAGTGGAGAGGTCTGCTGGAGTCTCATGCAGACATGAAGGGATTTCTCAGCCATAACCAATGTGGTGGGTGACCAGTGACCAGAGAGACCCCCTACGTCTAAGCCCTTTGAAAAGCACAGAACCACACCAGAGCCCTGGCTTGGTCAGGGGATCCCGAGAATGACAGAGGTTTCCCTTCCAATATGGAAGAAGATGGACTCATGAATGCAATTTAATAGCTTTATAGAAAAGACATGTAGCATTTTCTGCACAGTTGAGTTTGCCGACTGATATTCGCAATCCCTAGTTTCCTCTAGTGGAAACTGACAGCTGCTGAGGAGGCGCCCTTTGCCTGCCCTTTGCACCCTCTCACCTCCCAGCTGCCACATGACTCCAAAGCAAACTCCCTGGCCTGCAGAGGTTGGAGGGCACCTTGAGGCCTCCTCATTTGCATTTGTTGTTAACCATTCTCCATCCACTCACCAGTGGTCAAAAGAATGTGTAATGTGACTTCTTATAAATCTCTACCATGATTGTCTCCTTAACCACCTTCCTGTCTACTACAAAATAACATCTTAGCTTGCCCCCTCCACCTCACTTTCTGCCTTGGCATGATATTCCTCTCCTCTCTGCTTTCTAACATGATCAGTACCTTGCAGGGCAGCCAGGATCTGAGTGAAATGCAGGTGTCTTAGGAGAACCCCGAGATCCATAAACGGAAGGTCTCAAGTGTGAAGTGAGGCAGGTTTTCAGTCTTTTTATCCTTTCAGAACATCATCTCCACCTGCTTATACCAGAAGTTATTGAATATTCTCTGGGAACATGTGAGAAGTGAGGGAGGAAAATGTCCCTGAATACTTGAGGTTCTAACTGCTCCCTTGTTTGTCTGCTTTTACCCAAAGCACCAAGACCTTGTCATTTTCCTTAACTCTGGTGATTGGCTTGACAGAGAATAAGTGAGTGGCACAGCAAGTACTGGGCTCCCTGTATGGGAGCTCAGAAGGGACTGGAGTTTCACAAGATTGTTCCTTAATGACTTATAGGATCCCAGACCATCTTTTGCTATGGCATAATATAGACTGGAGTGGGATGGTGGTAGTGATATTTGTACTAACACCCCCTGATAGCAACATCTCCCACTCTGGTCTTCATTGAGGAATGTTACAGTGGGCAATTCTGATTATTTTGTGTCTTGATCACACACAATTGCCGGTATTACCAGGATCACAACATTCTGAATCTGATTTGCCCTCTCATTCCACTCATATATACCCGGCACTTTTCTAGGCCATGGAGAAGCATTAGTAAAAAAATAAATGTTGTCTTAATCTCTTCTTATGGCTTTAAGATATTTGAACAATTTCGGGACCAGCAGATGGTATAATGGTTATGTCACTGGACTCCCACATAGTTAACTGTGTTTTCAGTTCCAGACCCAGTGGCTTAAAACTCATGACAGGGAGGAGAGGCAAGAGGTAGGCCTTCAGAAGAAGATTCTTCATGGCTCCTGAGAACTAGTGATTTCAGAGTAAAAGAGAAATGAAGGTTTTCTACCAATAATTCAGCCTCCAGCCCACAAGCTTGAGTGGCAGTTCAATGGAAGTGTGTGATAAAGAATTTAGAATATTTATAATGGTGAAGCTAACAGAGATGGAAGAGAAGAGAGACAATGAACTGCAGAAGAGAAAGGAGAAAGGAGCTGACAAGTTCCAGGAGGTGAAGAAATTCTTGCAAGATCTAAAAGAGGAATTACACACTTTACAAAATAATCAAATGGAACTGTTAGAGTTCAAGGCTATAATACAGGAAATCAAAATCTCCCTTGAAAGTATTAAAAGCAGACTAGATCATACAGAAAATAGAATCTCAGACGTAGAAGCGAAAATTGCTGGCCTAGAAAAATCCACCATGAAGACTGAGAAAATTGCCCCCCAAAATGAGAATAAATTATGAGAAGTACTAGATATCATCAAACATCCAAACATCCGGATAATTAGCATTCCAGAAGATGAAGAGACTCATAAGGGTATTGATAATCTATTCCATAAAATCCTACAAGAAAACTTTCCAAAGCTAGAGAGACACTCAAAGATTCAGTCCCAAGAAATACGAAGGACCCCAAATAGAATCAACCCAATAAGATATTCTCCAAGATACATTATAGCCAGATTGACCAAAACCACAGACAAAGACAAGATACTAAGATTGGCAAGAGAAAAACATCAAGTTACCTACAAAGGACATCCCATCAGGCTAAGAGCCGACCTCTCATCAGAAACACTGTGAGTGAGGAAAGAATGGGAAAATATATTCAAAGTGTTAAGGGAAAAACAATTTCAATCAAGAATACTGTACCTGGCAAGATTATCTTTCATGTGGGAAGAAAAGACAAGATCATTCTCAGGTAAACAAAACCTGAAAGAATTTACCAGCACCAGACCAGATCTCCAGGAAGTTCTCAATAGAGTTGAATATTATATCCCAGAATTTAATCGGGAAAATCGAACCACAACAGAAGATAAAGTACATGAGACTGAATTGGTGAAATAGAATTTTATGACTTTTGACTAAAAACTTATTTTCTTGTAGGCTTTGCTGTCTGGTTGTAAGGATTGTGTCCTTTCTTGAAATATGGATAAGTTCATGTACCTACCACTTGAACCGAATCCTAACCTGCTTCCTGGCTTTAGATTTTAAGCAAAGTTCCTTAGCATTTCTTTAAGTTAAAACTTCTTTTCTTGAAATTACCAAGTGAACTTGCTATTGAAAGTAGTTATATTATTTAAGAAATTGTGTGATCAATATAATGTGGGGGGAAAGGAATGGAAGACAACTGTAGACACCAGAGATAGTGTGAGATGAGGGTGGGAAAGGACAGAGAGTCAGAAACTTTATAGTATGTTCATTCTACTCACTGAGACTTATGCCTAAAGTTGGACTTGTGTTCATGGATATGTATATATCAGCTGTGCTTGCTATTCAAAATATTTAGGTTAATTAAGATCTTTAGTGAATCAATAAAATGTGGGGGTAAAAGGGCATAGAAAGCAGCAATAGATACCAGAGACAGTGTAGGAGGAGAGTGGGAGATGGCAGAGGGTAAGAGATAGGGAATCAAGGATGGGAAAAAAAGCAAAATATACAGGAAACAAGAAATGGAAAATTATTTGTTGACAATAACATGTATGTTGATGTGCTTGATTGAGCCAATATACAGTGTATTCTGGATAGAAAATCTTATTTTGTATGCTTTAATGTACAGTGAATGAATGTAAATAAAAAATTTAAATTAAAAAATTAAACAACAACAACAACAACAACAAAAACAAGCAGGTATGTGTGTATACCCAAAAACTTGAGAAGAGAATGAGGAGAGTGAAGAAGGGATTGCAGTGTGGCTGTAATCCCTGGGGGGTGGGGGGGCAATTTCTCATTTTCTGTCTCTCTGTCTTTGTCTCTCAGGTGAGCACTGGTGCCATATAGAAAAAATCTCTTTAAAAGAAAAAAAGAAGATATTTGAAAAATGTCTTGCTTTCTGAGGTCACCTGAACCAGGTGTGTGTGTGTGTGTGTGTGTGTGTGTGCGTGTTTTCTGCTCTGTGAAGACAAGGCCAGTGCAGAGACCTTTCTGGGCTAGAGCCCCAGGTCTTCCCTAAGTTCCAGAGCAAGTGCTCAGCAAGCCCTGTAAGCACACTGGATGTACAGTACTTGGAGTGGTTCCTCAGGCCTGGTTTTTGCTTTGGCTGTGGAATGAAGCTAGGCTCTAAACAGTGCCACTTAATTAATTTTTCTGGAGAATGCTTTAGCGAGGACAATGACTTAGAGAAGGATCCTCACTGAAGAGTTAACAAAGGCTTCCATCTGTGGCAGCTCGGGAGCCAGAAACGTTAATTTTGTTCTCCTCAGTGCGCCTGCCACCTTAGCACAGAGATGATTTATGTAAAAGCCCTTTTTGCTTCTTATAATATCTCAGAACTTTAAGCCTAAAATGAAAAAGGAAAAGAATAGTAAGGATTCTTCTCAGTGGGATGGCGAGAACACCCAGTCTGCCTGCTCAACCTTCACCCAATGAGATTTTCTTTCTCTTTTTAATAAAGGGTATATGTACTTTCCCAGTCTCTCAACAGAAAAAAAAAATACAAGTGTTTTCCTTGGGTACACTTTCTGCTAGGAAAGCAAATAACTGAAGGAGGTCTCTGATGGAAGGAAAATGTTGTAAATACTTCCCAGAAAGACCTCTCTTAACTGCAGAGAGAGAACAAAAGTGAAATTCTGAGCTGAAGGCAAGTGTGACCTGTTGCGGAGTGTTCTTGGGGAGATCTGTCTCATCTCAGCCTGTGTTCAGTAGCACTTCTCAGCAGTGCAGAAGGGAGGTCCCTAAATACACTTGGCTAGTTGACGAGCTTCTCTCGGCCTCCTTTCCATCATCCCTAGCTCTAAATCTTGCCTACGTCCATTCACTTTTACTCAGTTATTATTTACTGAGCAACTACTGTTTTCCAGCCTGGTGCATTTGTGAATTTCCAAGGCTAGGCTCTTTTCTCATTACAGTTTATAAGCAGATATAAAGTGAATGTCGAAATCATGGACATGCTTAGAACTGAATTATTGAATTGAAATAAGAGCAGTTGTTAGGTATAAATGGACACTGTTCAATGGCCTGCCAAAACCCTTGGATAAAGTACGTAGATAAACCTAAATGCTGAAGTACACAGAAGGAATAATATTGCATCAAATAGAAACAAAATAATTGATCATGAAATATCGAACTCAACATTTTTTGAAGGTGCCATTTATTAATGTATTGTGGTCAAAGTCTCTCTAGTACAGTGGTTGACATTTTCTATTTCTTTCTTTTTTTTAGTTCATGATACAGTGTGTGTGCCAGCATATTAGAGGGAGGGAGAGGGAGAGAGAAAGAGAAACACTCTCCCAGGGACTGTTCACACCATGACCTCCTTCTCTTTGGTCTCCAGCTTGTTGGATCATGGGCTTGTTCATGTGCCTGATGTGCTTTTCATGCTGACTGGACCTGGGGTTCGAACTTTAGTCAATATGTGGGATGTGGTTTCTCTTGAGTAACACAACACTGCCAGCACCAAGATGCCAGCCCCCAAGGTGGATATTTTCCAAAACATCTGTTTTGAAGTGTGTAAGATGCCCATGAGGTCATGCGCATTCTTCTCTGTAATAAGTGCATGATTAGCATACGATTTATGGGTGGCCTTGTGGGCACAGCCTACTTTAAGACAAATATCAAGATCAAGTTTCAATATTGCTAAAGAAGTTGTTTGTTATTTGTGTGTATTTATTCTTTAAGTACCTGAATCTCTCTTTATAAGGAGGAGATGGAGTTTTAGATCCTGTATTTTAAGAGGATTTAGGTCACTGGCAGCATTTCTTGAGAAAAATGGCCTTGACAACCTCTGAGATTGTATGAAGAATATTTATGTAGGTTTTCCTGATCCCCTTCACCCTCTGTAGACTAGTGTCAGATCTTGTGTCTGAAGACCTCCAATCCAGTGGGGTTCACTCATCATTTTCTGGCTAATTATCAAAAGCAAAAAACCTTGAGGGAGCAGAGCTTGGGGAAGAACATAGGTATAAATTTCCACTTTCCTTATATCACCTAATGTGTCTCTGCTCTTAGAGGTAAACCTGTAGAATGACAGGAAGCATCTTGTTTCTTCACTTTTCCTTACAACATTAGAAAGAAATTCTTACTGTATGAGTCACCCTGGCCAGTGCTCTTTAGTCACAAAGACGGTAACTTGATAAGAGGCAACTGATGGTTCAGTTTGGACTTCCTGTTTCATGGCCATAATCATGTGAGCAAACGTAATCAACTGACTTTCTTTCCTAAGAAGGAATGCATGATATTGAGTGCCTACGGGATGCATATGTGGGAAGCAGCCTAAGTGATGGAGTCGAATCTGTGGACCAGAAACCAGCGCTTGCCTTTCCCTCTTTCAGCTGCTGTCTGCCCTGGGCCTCCGGAGAGTGCTAAGGAAGGAGAGGATGGTCTTGTCAGTGGCAGTAGTCAATGTAGATGGAGCTGAGTGATGAGAAAGGCCAGGGCTGGCAACTGCTTTACAGCAAGGAAACACCTCATGCAATTGAAGGTTCAGAGTCTTAAAGTCCATTCCACTTCCAGTACCACTGTAACCTGCAGAAAAATGGCCCATGGTTATATCAAAAGAGAATGATGGGTGTGGTGGAAAACATCCAAGATTAGGAATCAAAAAATTTGGGTTTTCATCCCACTTTTGTCATTTACTGAGTGTGTATTTGGGGAAATCATATCTCTCTAGGAGATTTGGTTTCCATCTATGGGAAAAAAGATAACAACATCCACTTCATTTTGCAAGCACTAAAACAGAATGTCCTCAAAATCTTAGATCTTCTTACCCTTAACGGTAACAGTCATCATAATGGTAACCTGATCAAGGAAGCCTGTGGGACAGATACAGTCTTCCTGAGCAGTGGATGTGTCTTTGCTCTTAGGCTGTTATTTTGTTTAGACAAAACATCAAGACTGACACACACTTCTTGAGAAGTTTACTCTCTTCCACATATCAACCTTGTGCAAAGCTCAGTTCAAGGTTGCTGTCAGACTACCTGTGCCCAGTGAGCAAAAGAGGGTTTGAACCAAGTAGAACCACAAATATTCATCTTTATCAGGACCAGGAAGAAGCATACACATGAAGACTGGTATGATGAGATGTGAGAAATAAAAGATCTCCCAATTTAGGTGCTGATATAGCCAAAATAATGCCAAAAACATACACAAACAAACAACAAACAAAAAACACAACACTGTGAGAAACCAAGTTCCAGAACTGCTCACATACATATTCATGATTCCAAGGCAAGAAGGTCTCTGCCTTGTTTGAGGAAGTCCCAGAGGTCTGGCATCAGTCTTACGTGTGGGTAAACTGTAGAATATTTCATTTCCAATAGTTGGATTGTACAACTTCATTGTTCATGCAGTTTAAGTTTAAGAAACATTTTCAATATCTTTAGATGCCCCCAACCATATTTCATGCTTATAAAGACCACATTGGCCTCCTCGGCTCTTGGCAGGAAGCCATTTTTTTAGTGGAAATTACTTTAAAATAAGATAAATAAGGAAACCCTATTTTCCCTATGTATACTAGGTCTTGGCACATGTACTAAAGTGATCTGATAGATTTCAGGATCAGTATAACAATTTATTTTTGTATCATTGAATTCAGTTCAGGCCACTCTGGTGAAAATGCCAAATGCCCCAGAAACAAGATTAATCTTTTAAAAATGTCAGTGTATCTCTTACTTCCTCATCTACCATCAGTTTTCTATCTTTTCTACTCCCATGGAATAATCTATTAATAGGATCACATCATGGTCTTTGAAGGCAGTTAAAATAAAACATTTTGCATTTGACATAAGATGCATAACTAAATCATTTAATAACTTTCTTCTTTTAACACATGGAGCTAATTGTGTGTTTCCTTGAGAGCAAGTTTGTTTGTTTTTGCTAGCCAAGCTTCTGTGTTTGGCCTTTGCATTTCTGTCACCAGCAGCCCCACAACCACTATTAAGCAGAACCCCAGCCATGGCATTCAACAAAGAAGTGGCAAGACTCCAAGAAATAGATTTCCCACAAATAGCAGCTGAGAACATTCAAAATTGGGTAGGTCTGGTTTATGTTTGGTTCACCTCTGAATGTCTCACGTAAAACTTCTCAGTTGAATGGACCAGTGACAATCCAGTAAAATCACTCAAGAACTCTGGGATTACTCTTCTCACATCCACCGCTTTAGCCTTTGTCTTACGTGAGAGCTTAGCGATTGCCGACAGAGTACATCAAAGAATGGCAAGCAGGTTGAGGACAGTTTGCACCGTCTTTAATCATTTGGTGAAAGCTCAGGAGGATTTGTTCAAATTTAGCTGAGTAAAACTCCTCCACTTCAGCACCTCGTTCAGACAATATGAGAACCAGATGGGTTTGCACATGCAGCCTGATCGCTACTGTCTGATGCAGACGACAGGAATTCTGCACATCTGTGCTGGGACGTCGGGGAATGCCACGGCCCTTCATGTGCTCAGTAGACCACACTAGACTGTTTTTTTCTAATTTGGGTAAGAATGAAAACTGTTGTTTAAAAGGCACCTTGCCCTAGTCATTTGTAAGTTCATTCATTAATGAAACATTACATCAGGGTAGCACTTTACAGTTTACAAAGTACTTTCATTTCCTCATTTAATCCTTTAAATAACCTTGTGAAATAAGCAAGGCTGTTGAAAGAGGCTAAACAGTGGAGGAGAAAATCCAGTGTGCTGCTATTCCTGACTTTAAATGCCCGGTGTTACCTTATGTACGGACTAACATTGAATTATAGCAAGGTATGAAATATGTAGATGCCCCTAGAATATGCTTCCTCCTAAGCTAATTATACTGCTCCATATGTAATTTATGGGGCATTGGATTATTAGACATTTCCACGGACACACCCATAACTGTATAGAGGAATGACTCTGACTCTGGAAATGGGAGTTGGGAGGTGAGTGCTTGGGAGAAGAGTTTGAATTGTAGGTTACAAATGATGCTTGGAATTCAAATTAAAATATATTTTTAAAAGTTTTAATTTTTTTTTAAGAATAGAGACAGAGAGAAAGAGAAGAGACAGCATCTCTAAAGGCCCTGATGCTGCTGTTCATTTCCACCTCAGTCAGCCCAAGATCATAGGCACACATGTAATTTGCATACTCAGAAAGGTATCTGGACTTGAACAGGGAACCTTCATATGTCAGCCTCACAGAAGGTTGTATTTTACTGCTGCAGCACCATTCAGCCCTAGCATTCACATTTTTAAATCATAAACTATCACATCGATTTTGAAAATATCTACATGTTTACATGCCACACAATTTTGAGCAAGATTGGCACCTTAGGAAGATATGCCATGTTTATATGCAAGTGTATATACCACTCTAAGATACTTAGAGATCATTTAACACATCATCATTGCTCAAAAAAACAATAATTTACTTTGTACTTCTCATGGCCTACAAGTGTTTAGTGCTAATGGTATTAGAGCAGTATTGGGATTGTTTTAGGTTATTTGGGTCTTCGTCCAGTGTTCTTAGTTAAGGTCACACACTGATAAGCTGGCTGTGGAAGTAATGGTTAGCTGGTCTCTCCATGGAGGAACAGCATGCTCTGTAGGCCCTGGTGGCTTAGAATGTGAAGTATTCCTTATCCTGTAAGGGTTATTTCAAGCCTCGCTATTTTTTTTTTTCTAAGAGAGAGTTTTGCTGTAGGGCATGTGTGCTCATCAGAGAGAGAGAGAGAAAGGCAGAAAGTGAGAAAGTGAGAAATCACTCCCCACACTGGGGCGGGGTGGGGGGAGGGGATGACCATGCCTCAATCCCTTTTCTTCCATCCTGCTTTTGGGATTTTGGGCATGGCATGAGTTTTAACTCACTGGGTTCAGGACTCTCACTGTGGCTGACTACTTGGGAGTCCAGCAACATAACCATTATGCCGTCTGTTGGTCCCAAGTGTGGATTTTTTTTTTTTCTGTTAATCTCTTTCTAACCCCTTGGAGCACACTAAAGATGTCCTTGTATGCCTCCACTACACTTGCACATCTCATCATGGTATCAAACATTTTTCCTACTTATCTGTCTGTCTCTAGTATTGATAGCAGGACTTGTAGACAGAGTTGTACCAAATATTTTAGAGTGTCATATAAATATTATGAGTTATTTACCTAGATTTTTGATTTACTTTGTTGCTGTAAAGATGGAATCTCAACTTCTGATGTGGAGTAAGTATTCAATGACTTGTTACAGAATTAAGAAAAAATTAAATTGTCAAAGGGCACATGCACTTGCTAGAGAGGGAGGTGGGGGTGAGAGAAAGGAAGAGGGAGAACACGCCCCCCCCATGAGATGTGGCCATGCTGCTGTTGTACTCCATTTTTCTATTCTGTTGGGATGTTGGGCACATATGAATGTCCAATGGGTGTGTTTTTTGAGTCACTGGGTCTAAGATTCAAACCATGGTTGGCCATGAGGAAGCCGGCTCCCTTAACCACTCAGTCATGGGGTCAGCCCTTTGTTATAGATTTCACTGTATGATTGCAGTATCACACACACAAAAAACAGAATATAATTATAAGGTTAGGGGTGTAGATAGAGGGCAGGATTCCAAGTCTATGATTATTTTTTTATTACTGTATTATTATTTTTTATAGCTCTTCTTTTTTCTATAATTTTAAAAACATACTTTAACTGTTGCAATCTGTGTATTCTTCCAAAGTTCTGAAGAGCTAATAGACTGGAGCAGGACCAGTACTGGCCCACGGCCTGTTGGAAATCACGACACAAAGCAGAAGGTAAGCAGTGGCGAGTGAGTGAAACCTCATCTGTATTTACAGCCACTCCCCAATCTCTCACATTACTGCCTGAGCTCAGTGTCCTGTCAGATCAGCAGCGGTATTAGATTCTCATAAGAGCAAAGCCCCATTGTTAACCGCTCATGTGAGGGATCTAGGTCATGTGGTCCTTATTCAGATCTAATGCTCAATGATCTGAGATGGAGCTGAGGCACTGGTACTAGTGCTGGAGAGTGGCTGCATACACTGCTTCAGGATGAGTGATGTAATTATTTCATTATCCCTTACAATATAATAATAATAGACATAAAGTGCATGATAAATGTAATGCACCTGAATCATCCTGAAACCATTTTCCTCCCCCTTAACCACAGTCCATAGAAAAAGTTTCTTCCACAAAACTTGTTCCTTGGGCCAAAGACCTTAGAGACTACGGTGCTAGGGGACTAGAGAAGGAGGTTGTAATCTGACCAGATTCTGTGGAGGGTGCTCATTTCTCTCCTCTTCTGTGTTGTCAGTCTCACCTATGCACACATGTACTCTATCATAGATAAAGAAAAAAAAACTATTAAAAAAAGTGATCCTTGTGTTGAAAAGATCCATAACATACTTTCAAGGGTTGCAAGAGCTGCAGGATGACCATTGTAGTTCAGACATAAAAGATGCATTCAGGGATTCTTCCTGCCCCACCCTGCATAGAAGATAGTCCTCAGACATTAAAATCAAATTCCTTTCTGACACTGTGTTCTGTTCCCCAGACCTCATATTTGCCAACAAATTCTCCTTATGTTGTTCTAATTTTCATAGTCTCAGTTTTTGTTAGAAGTAAAAGAAATAGATGGAAGGATAAGAAATACCAAGATTATGGTCTTGTAAAATAAATTGAACCTATAAAGACTTGGTACTAGATGGATGAATAAGAAAGAAAGACAAGAAAAAGAAAGGCACAATTAAGGTGACTTAGCTCTTTCTTAGATCTCAGGTCTTTTCTTATTTCTTATAATTTTGGAAAGGCTTTATACTTACAATGCTCTTTGTGATTTTCAAAGCCCATTCTCACTTATAATAGATCATTTGATTCTTATAACAATCCTGTGAAATAATCAGGGTATTATTTGACCTAGCTTAGAGATTGGTTTTAAAAATTATTTAAATTTTATAGGTATTTTATTTTATTTAATAAATCCAATCTGCATATTATTCATAGAACATTAATATATGTTCACCTGAATTGACCCACCTCTCTCCCCCAGGTTATTTTCAAGTGAAAATGGGATACATAGTATTCTAAGCCCTGACTAAAATTTGCTAAAGTTTTCATTCATTCATTCACTAATTCATTCATTAACTTTTGGGGGGGGGTCTCTTCCAAAAATAGAATCTCTTTTTTGAGTGCAATCTCATGTGGAGCTGCAATATATAAAATTGGTACTTGGTGGAATTATTTAGGTTTGGTTAGAGAACTGAAGGAGTGGGTAGAGTCACCTTACTTGGGCTTGTCCCTTAGTTTTCCCTTTATTAGTACGTAGTAAACCTATGATCCCTTTGTAGAACTTGCATAATACTAAGCACTTGATTTTTTTTGTTTTGAGAGAGATTTTTGCTATAGGCCATGTATGCTTGCCAGACAGAGAGAGACTGAGAGACAGAAATGAGAAAACACACCCCTCTCCCCCAGGGAATGGCCATGCTACAATCCATTCTCCACTCTCCTTTTGGGATTTTGGGCATGCATGTACATGTGCCTGGTATGAATTTCAAGTTGCCAGGTCTGGGACTTGAACTGCAGCCATGTGGGAGCCCAGCACCTTAACACCACCTGCTGGCCCCAAGGACTTCATTTTT